TTGCCTTTAAAACATTCATTTATTATTGCTCTATGAATTTTCTAAGGCAAGATCTTCTTCCTCCATTTATTGAACCAGCATTATTAATATATTTTGATGTATTATATCAAATCATATAGTAAGGTTTGATATAGTAAGACTCTCCTTAACAGAAATTCAGTTAACTCTCAATTTATGAAAAAAACAAGTGATGAAACAAAAAACTAGACACACACACACACATCACACATATATGCACGAAAACAAACTAATATAGGGAGTGTATTAACAAAGAAAGTACAGACCTAGCTTTGGTGGTGCAGCTGGGGTTGATTTGCAATGTTGGAAGCCACGTGGCTGATGGTGGGTTCTGATCCTGAATCAGTCTGAAACATGCTGGGCACATGGGCACCTGCACCCTAGACCCTGATTGGCCAGGGAAACGAAATTGAGGCATAGAGAGGCCCTGTCGAGGGTGGTCTTCTCTCTCTCTCTCTCCTTTCACTTATGCTTTCTCTCATGATAGAAATAAAATAAATAACATTTTAAAAATAAAAGAAAATTCAGAGAAATACATTTTGGGGCTTTAACACTTTAAAGTTTAATAAGTAAACTTTAATAAATAAACTTTAAAAAAAGAAAATTCAGAAAAATTCATTTTGGGGCTTTAACACCACAATCCCTTCTCCTCCATTCTCATCTCGGGGTCTTGGGCACACACGTACACGCGCCCATCGTGAGTTTTAAACCACCGGGTCCAGGACCCAAGCCACAGTCCATTATGTGGGAGTCTAGTGATGTAATCATTCTGCCGTCTGCTGGTCCCCCTTCCCCTGCTTTGAATAAAGGCCATTCTCTACCTAGTCCCGAACTCAGGGGCTTGAAAATCATGCCAGACCCATATGCATGCATGTCCAAATCCTCAGAAGTGAATGGAGAAGAGATTGTGGCCTGGCCATATTCCCTGGGGGAGGGGCAATTTCTCCTTTTTCTTCTCTTTCTGGCTAGTGCATATGCCTTATGGCAAAAAAAAAAAAAAATTATAAAAACCCCCCAAACAAAATCAAAACAGTATTTTGATTTTCTTAACATTTCTTGGCATATTGGGTTAAACAAGGTGCATCTAGTGCAAGAGTATCATGTCTTTAATAGTCATTTGATGAGCTTGTAAAATGTTACTGGTGTCCTTTCCAGATATTAAAATATTGAATGAATCTCATATTGGGTTACAAACCCCTCTGAAAGTCAGGTATTTTCCAATTCATTGCTTTAAAAGAAATTGAAAGAGGAACTAATTGGGTTGTCAGCTGTGAGATCATTAAAATAATTTTGAAGCCCTATTACTATGTGATTTTTGGCATATACATTGGAAGGCATTCAAAGAATTGAGTGGCTTTGCTATACCAAATTTTCATTTCTATCTCCTAGCTTGTGTGAACGAGGTTTCACAAAAAGCATAAGTGGGAATAGAATTGATCTTGTATTCTATCTCATTCTAGTACTGTGATATTTATCCATTGTGTTAAAAAAAAAGCCTCATCCACCTAAGAGCTATATATATATACTTCTATTGTAGTAAAAGTTTACTTTTTATGTTCTTATTTAACAAAATGTCCAATATTTTTGTTTTTTTTTTATCAACTTTATTTTTATAATAATAACTCATTTAAAGATAATATTATTGGGGCCAGAGGTGGTATAGTAGTTAAGGCACTGGACTTGCATGTGACTGACCATGGTTTAGTCTCAGATCCTGTAGTTTGAAACTTACACTGGGTAGGTATGTGTGCATGCCCAAAATCCCAAGAGGAAAATGAAGGGGAAGGAATTGCAGCATGGTCATCCCCCCTCCCTTACTTTCTCTCTGTTTCTCTGGTGAATGTGCATGACCTATAGTCAAAAAATTTCTAATTAGTCATATTACTTGGAGTTTTGGGCCATGAGGTTAAAAAATATGAAATGTATATATTAGCTATACATACACACACTCTTGCAAATAAATATGATAGGTGACCAACAAAAGACTTTCAAGATCAGCTATATCCTCGAGAGGATACATAGTGAAAATACAAGTTCAAGTTTAAATGGAGATAATATACATTTATGACTTTCAACGTAGGACTTCATGAATTTTGAAAGTGGGTAATTACAAGTATCAGTCATTGTGGTATTTAAATTCCATTAAATATATATAACGTATATATGAGTTATGTGACTTTTTTATTTTAAGGTGTGAATATTCTTTATGGATGAAAAACCCATCCTTTGCGCTATAACTTAAATAATTTTTATGCCAACTTAAAAATGTGCAGAGGGTAACACAGCCAACTGAAATCAAAATGCGAATTTTGAGCCACCTGGTTCTGTGTGGAAGATGACCTCCTCCCTCCCCCACATTCATTCGCTTCCTGAATTGCTGATCGCTGGAATTCTGTTAGAACTTCATGCTCTTCAAGGAGGTATTCAACTAGAGATTTGGTCTTCATGAAGTACAACCATCTTTAGGACAGGTTGGACACTAGCCCTTACCAGTTACAGACAACTGAGTGTGAGTGAAATCCCCAAGCCTTTTCTCCTCCTAAGAAACGCTTTGGAAAGTGGGGCATAGTGAGGTCTATGAGGGTTTTAGTCTTCCAAGAAAAACGGGAAATTGCTACAGAAGAAAGAAAATTGAGCAGAAATAGAAGCTGGGCCAAGGGTACAAGAGACTGCACGAGTTCAATTTTTCCTTGTCTGGAGGACACACCCATAAGAAGGGGAAGAACCAAGGAGTGGCGCCTGAATTCTCAGGTCCTAAAGTGAATGAAGATGGGCCCCACACTCACCTTGCTGGTTTTAGACTTGAATCAATAGCAAATTAGATCTGTAATTGGTGCACAGGGATGTCTGTGGTCAAGTGAAAAGTAAAGTTTTGTAGGAATATTCAGAGTGTGAGTCAGATAAAAACGAGTCTGCTGGGGCTTTATACACGTAATTATATGCCCGTGAGAAGGAGAAGTAACAAGTCCTTACCAAAACAGTGACCTGGGGGCACTGGGAGGTGGCGGGTAGGAAAGATTAGCTCGACCTTTAGGATCTTTGTTTACGCACGTGTACTATTCCACTTAGTGTTGACCACATGTTTGAACATGCTTATTTTACTTTTGTAGTTTGGAAAAAAAATAAAGAAAATAAAGAATAATAAAGCAAATAAGGAAACTTTGGGAAAGAACAACCTCTACCACATGAAGGGGAGTCTTCAAAAAGTTCACAGGAGGGACCATCAGTTAGCATAATGGCTGTGTCGCTGGACTCCCACGTAGTCGACCGTGGTTCAAGTCCCAGACCTGGTGGCTTAAACTCACACCGGGCACATGTACGTGCGTGCCCAAGATCCCAAAAGCAGAATAGAGGAGAAGGGATTGTGGCGTGGCCATCCCTCCTGGGGGGTGATGTCTCGTTTTCTATCTCTCTGTCTCTCTCTGTCTGTCTGGCGAGCACACACGCCCTATAGCGAAAACCTCTCCAAAAAAAAAAAAAGTTCACAGGAAATGTGTATTATGAAAAAACTATGCATGGATTTCAAGTTAGAGGGCGTTTGCACTAAAACTTGCACTTTAACTTCATTTTCCCATGACTTTCTGAAGCCCCTCGTCCCATGAAAGCACCTAATTACCACCTACCCCCACTTCCTAGATGCCAGGCCTGCTGGGAACAGGTGGGCTAGCACTTAAATACCTCAGTAACTGCCCACTGGTGCTAATTTTAGTCTTCCTATCGACCAGGGAGAGCACCTCCCTAGACTGGATGCTTTCCCCTTTAAAGAGAAACTGGCATTTGAGGCTCTGGGAGTCTTGACTCAGGCTGCAGTGGGCTGGTCACTTGGCCAGGGCTGTCTTTGTCCCCGTCTGTGGCTGTGGTGTCTCTCTGTCTTCGAGTCCTGCCTGAGGATCTCTGCTGCCGGCGGAAGGTGAGGTTAGGTGTGGTGAGTTATGGCAGCACTTGTTCTCTGCGCTGCTGCCTGGAGGGGTTGGGTTCATGGCCTCCTGTCTTTGCAAAGACGTCAGTGTGGCCACCTGTCTTGGTGCGTTTCCACATGCCCTGATGGGCCCTTCAGTGCAAACCTGAATTTAGAAAGGATTCTGTGTTCTCATGTGTCCATCCCCAGGGTCAAAACTCCGGGGTCACACATGCAAGCTTTCTTCCTGC